CAAACATATAAACATGGGAGATAAAGCTTCAACATTTAGCTGTCAGCGGCAAATCTAATGCTCCAGCAGCTCTGCCAAACGCCCACCTTCTCCCAAATCCCAAACCCAACACAAAGTCTCTGTCTTTCAAGACCGCCGACAAACCCTTTGAACCAGAGCTCATTCGAGCAGAACTACAGGCAAGTGTGCAGCCTCCTTCTCTCCTTGACTCGCTTAAGGTCCATTCCAAAGGGCCTGCAACTCCATGCCCACATCTTCAAATCAGGTATTGTCGCTATCCCTCTCGTTTCCCACCACCTCATCAACTTCTACTCCAAGTGCCAACTCCCCCTCTTATCCGCCCAAGTATTTCACGAAGCTTCGCGAAAGAGTGCCACTACTTGGAGCTCTGTCATCTCCGCTTGTGCCCAAAATGAGCTCCCCTGGCTTGCCGTTGAGCTCTTTCGTCGAATGCTTGGCGACAATATCCGCCCGGATGACCATATCCTCCCTTCGGCCACCAAGTCTTGCGCCATTCTTGGTAGGACCGACGTGGGGCGATCCTTCCATTGTGTTGCATTGAAGACTGGATATGATGGCGATGTGTTCGTGGGGAGTTCTTTGGTTGATATGTATGCTAAGTGCGGGGAGATTTGGGATGCAAGGTTATTGTTCGACGAAATGCCTGATAGAAATGTTGTTTCTTGGAGCGGTATGATATATGGGTATGCTCAGTTGGGTGAAGATGAGGAGGCTCTGACGATGTTTAAGCAAGCACTGTATGAAGAGTTGGACGTCAATGATTTTACATTTTCGAGCGTTGTTCGTGTCTGTGGAAACTCGACGCTTCTCGAGCTGGGGAAGCAGATACATGGGCTGTGCGTAAAAACGAGTTTCGAATCGTCGAGTTTTGTGGGTAGCTCTTTAATTTCTCTGTATTCTAAATGCGGTGTTATTGAGGAAGCCTACCGGGTTTTTAACGAGATACCGGAGAGGAATCTTGGAATGTGGAATGCAATGCTGATTGCCTGCGCACAGCATGCGCATACCGAGAAAGCAATGAGCTTGTTTAAGCAGATGGAAGATGTTGGGATGAAACCGAATTTTATCACATTTCTGTGCGTGCTCTACGCTTGTAGCCATGCAGGGCTTGTTGAGAAAGGGAAGTATTACTTTGAGCTCATGAAAGAATATGGGATTGAGCCAGGAGCTCAGCATTATGCTTCATTGGTGGACTTACTTGGGCGTGCTGGTAAGTTGCAAGAGGCACTAGTAATTATCAAGGAAATGCCTGTAAAACCAACAGAATCTGTGTGGGGAGCTTTCTTGACCGGGTGTCGAATTCATGGCAATACCGAATTGGCTGCTTTTGCAGCAGACAGGGTTTTTGAGTTGGGTCCTGTTAGCTCAGGCGTGCATGTGCTGTTATCCAATGCTTATGCAGCTGCTGGCAGATGGGAGGATGCAGCCAGAGCTAGGAAACTGCTTAGGGACCCAAGGAGTCAAAAAAGGAAACTGGGTTGAGCTGGGTTGAGGAAGGAAACAAAGTGCATACATTTGCTGCAGGAGACAGGTGCCATGCACGAACAGAGGAAATATATAAGAAGTTGGAGGAGCTGGGGGAGGAAATGGAGAGGGAAGGTTATGTTGCAGACATAAGTTTTGTGCTAAGAGAAGTGGATGGAGAAGAGAAGAAGCAGACAATAAGGTATCACAGTGAAAGGCTAGCTATTGCATTCGGGCTCATCACATTCCCTCCTGACAGACCAATCAGGGTCATGAAGAACTTGCGGGTATGCGGCGATTGTCACACAGCAATCAAGTTTATGTCGAAGTGTTCTGGAAGAGTGATCATTGTGAGGGACAACAATAGATTCCATCGGTTTGAGAATGGGATTTGCTCCTGTGGTGACTATTGGTGAATGAATTGCAATATCCTTCACTTTTTTTTTTCCATTGTTTATAGAGATAATTAGTCTTGAGAAGATTTATTAATTGTATTATATTGTAATCTAATCGTGATTACACATCATTTTACTGAACCAGATAAGTATCAGTAATGTTTTCAAAAAAGAAAACTTTATTGAAAAGGCAGTTAAACTTGAGTTTTCTTCTTCATCTTCTCTGAAGTCCATTAATATAATATACTAATCATACACACTACAATATTTTGTTTTTTTTTTAGTCAGCATTTGTCTTAGTGGGGGTGGTTCAGGCGGTATCTAGGGGTGAAGTTCTTGGTCATGGAATGGACTTCTTTTTTCTTGGAAAATCAATGGAAATATGCATTACCCAATTTAATTTATATCAATCTTCACATTTCTCCATATTTTATTTCTGGGCTGCCATCTTGCTTCTTTTGAGGTTTTCTGCTTTTAGTTTCTCTATTTTTGGACTCTGTTTTTCAGTCCAGTTCCTCTCTGTTCTCCTGTGTCAGAGATAATTGGACTATGTTTAGACTGTCTTACATGAGTAAGTAGCTTTTGACCTATCTGTTGCAAGCTTCTAACCATGGCTATGGACGCCATTGTGTCTACGGAAGAAATTTCCAGGATGCCCCTCTTTGTTTTCTTCAAAGATTCAAGGTATTCTTCTTCCCACTTGGATTTATTCAATCATTTTTATTTATGGGCATTTTTTTCTGATAATTTAAAATGGAATTCTTTCTATAGAAACATCATCCATTTAGATAGAACCAACGGTTAACAGCTAATGTAGCATTAAAAAAACAGGTAACAGATAATCATGTCAGGAACTTGAGTCCTGTTATTGGAATTTGATTGTTATTTCTAGTAGTTTCTGGTATCTGGTGCAAAATTTTCAGAATGGTGTATGTATATATATAGAAAATATCCAGGAATGTTTTCAAGGAAAAAAAAATTGGTCCCGAAACTTGCAGCATTTCCAAATCCAGTTTCTTTGTATCATTCATTTAGTTTCTAAAACCAAAAAAGGAAAAAAAATGATCATCACAAGAAGTTTAAACTGATGCTAAATTCTCGATCTATTATTTGCATATTAACAAGTTCTCTCATCCACAATCTCGTTAAGCTGAAAACACCAATCAAACCCAGTTAAGATTTGAACTCTAGACCTTTGATTGTGATGTCATGTTAAGTAATTACTTTCTAATTGATCAGATGAGAAACTTAAGCTGCAAAAAATTGCTCAATTTATTATTTATACACAAGTCTTTATTGATTTTGTTGCAGTTGTAAGAGATGTCACAAACATTACTTTAGAGCCAATATTTATCTTCTTACTACGCTTGATGTCAATGGTGCAGCCCTTGCCTGTGTCCTCTCCCAGTAAGTACAACATTTTGGCTATCAGTTTCATCAATCTGCATTCATTAGTCATAAGACTTGAATTCTTTAAATCACTTTGTTGCATGAATTAGTCCTTTTTGATATAATGTGTTCGCCCTGTATTTGAAGGTGTATTGTTCTTATAGGTATAATTTCCTTAACACTCTTGTGGAAATTAATCAAACAAGTTGATCAAGTACCTCCAACTTGTAAAGACCTACCATTTCAGAGGTTTATTAGAAATGGTGAGCCTGTCGATATATGATATTTGGCCCACTTCACTCAATAATCCTTCAATTTCGTTGTGATATTAACACTTATTTTCACGATGCATATCACTATGTATGATTTAAAATTGTGATCCTTTATGTAGAATTCCTGTTATCAATGAGGGTAATAGCTGTGACATTTTATGTGACCTTAGCAGCATCCTTGGCTGCAAGGCTTGATCAACGTTGATGGCTGCATTTAAGGTGTGCTTGCAGATTTGGCTGACAACATCGCTTGCTGATGGCCTGGCCGGTACTGGACAAGTAAGGAATATGAATCAATGTTTTAGATGAATTATATGCTTTCACCTTGTTGCACATATATAAATATATATATATATGCAAGTATGTATATATATATATAACTCCAAATTGGGTTTACTAAAATTATTGTTTGTCACTCATTACGTTCCAAGTCATTGCAACTGAGATCTCTTTACTTTTTGCTGATAAGTTTGTTGCAGTTACTCAACCTATCAATGCTATACCTTTGGTTTTTATGGCATCAATTATGGAGCCTCAGATTGAGCATATTGTTTTTAGTCAATAGTAAGTATACTTGTCTTCTGAACTTTTATGTTGTGTGAGTGAATGATACTCAAGCAATCAAGAACAGAAAATTAAAAAAAACATACAATGTATACCTGATTCGATCAATGTGATTTATTCCACATTGATTAATAGAATTTAGATTCTAAAGTTAAAGATTATAAGATTTTTTTTCAGACTGAAAACTCTAACTCAATACACTTATTCTCACCAGGGCTAAACTTATTTCTGAATAAGAAAATATATACATTTATATTGATGGAATAAACATCATTACAATTATTCTATACTTTTGTCATAATTAATCATAAAAAACCTTCACGATACTCAATTAGCTCTCTTTATCTCTCTTGCTCAGGTGCTGGTAGTAGCAGAATGAGCATTTTGCTGGTACTTGTCCCATCTTCAGCTAACGATTATGGTGGTGTCTGGATTGTTTTGTCCGTCTGCATGAGTTTTCAGATGAATGCCGGTTTTCATAGGTAACTTGCACCAGTTCACAAGTATTTATGCACACGCTCTTAGGCATTGATTTTTTCGTTGATTTTTTTTAGAAGACTTGTTGAAGTTAACAATGCTAAGATACATGATAAATAATAACCAAACCTTTTTTCTGTTACTCCAAGTTTTCTAAAAAGATTAATTACAGCGCATTATTTAACGCAACATATTTCTCTTATTCATTTCCGTAATTGGGTTCTATTTGGTTTATGTCCCATTCTGCTCTGTGATTATCCGATTCATGTCCGGTTCTGCTTCTACATGAAAGGATGCATTTTAGATTCTGTCATTTCTTAAAAAATCTGGAAGATTGGTTAGAACTTGTCATTTGATACATAGTTTTATGACAAGAGATAGATTTTAAAAAAGGATTGGATTGAAATAATAATCCAAAAGAAAATTATACGAGTATTGAATAATAAACTTTTGAATTATTTTTTGTATGTTCAATAATAAATTTTCATTTCTTTATCAAGAGTCTCAAAAACACTTGCACCATTACTGTAGTTTGGTCTACATATATGAGTTATATATATTTATATAAATATAGATACCCTTTCCAATTTTTTGAAATTGGCATATAATCTTTTTAGGTGTATTATCATATCATGCAAAAGAAATCCTTTTAGAATGACATTTCAAAAATACAATTTATAATTTTTTACTATTTATTTCAAATAGTGACAAATCAAGTTCATAAGCTTCTTCTTTTGCTTTTGCATAAACTAAATTTTTAATACCTATAGTGGGAAAGAAAAGTTTGGTTCCAAGTTGTTCAAGAACAGCGACCCTTAATTTTTCGACCTTTGTTTTAATATTAGTCGGTTCTATTTTTTAATAAAAAGAGTTATATAACTCGATAATAGAATGTTATTCGACTTACTTATCACCGTGATTAAATAAGAATGGAATAAGAGACTTATGGGGATTGACATAAGTAGATAGGGATGGCTATATTTTTTTAGAGCAAATTTCGGGCGAACACTAAGCACATGAATAAAGTGAACGAGTATTTAATGAATTCTTACTACGAAACAAAATCGGTTAGCAAGCAACAATCTCTAATTCAGTAAAATTACATTATCCTCTCAATTTTAATACTAGGAAACTGCCAATTATGTGTTGATTCTAGCTAAACATTTTATAATTACTCATAATTGTTTAACTAATAATTTTTAGTTTACTGAACTTTTCACTATATTATTAATAAAAAGGTGCATGCTATATCAATGTATATGCATATACTTTTTTGGTTTTTTTCCTTATAAACTTGAGAAGAATAAAAGGAGATAGCCTTTTCTTTCTTTGTTATTTGAAGTAACAAGTCAATTTGATTAAGTGGAGAACAAAATAAAGGAAGAAAATACCCAAGGAATATTACATATATATGTATATTTGATATAAGGAACAAAGGATACTATATATAGGGCTTACAAACAATGCATGTATGTATGCAACATATAAAATATATCTATAGAGATCTAGTTGAGGACAGTGCTAAACTTGTTACTCACTCTATCATACAACTCTACCACAACATAAATAGTAGATTTAAATTTTATTTTTCTTATAAAGTAAATTATAAATACTCAAAGAATATTATATATATATATATATGTATATTTGATATAAGAAAAAATGTATACTATATAGGCTTTATAAACAGTGCATGTATATATGCAACATATAAAATATATCTATAGAGATCTAGTTGAGGACAGTGCTAACCTTGTTACTCACTCTATCACAACATAAATAGTAGATTCAAATTTCATCTTTTTTATAAAGTAAATTATAAATACTCAAAGAATATAATATATATATATGTATATTTGATACAAGTAAAAATGGATAGTATATAGGTCTTATAAACAGTGTATATATATGTGCAATATATAAAATATATCTATAGAGATGTAGTGGAAGATAGTGATAAACTTGATACTCACTCTATCATACAACTCTAACACAACATAAATAGTGGATTCAAATTCTATCTTTCATATAAATTAAATTACAAATACCCAAAAAATATTATATATGTATATTTGCTACAAGTAAAAAGGGATACTATATAGGTCTTATAAACAGTGCATGTATATATGCAACATATAAAATATATCTATAGAGATATAGTTGAGAATGGTGCTAAACTTGTTACTCACTCTACCATACAACTCTAACACAACATAAATAATGAATTCAAATTCCATCTTTCCCATAAGTAAATTACAAATACCATTTACATATATGTATATATATATATATATATATATACATATGAAAGGAGGAATCATCATATTTGCACAATTCAACTTGTCTATGATGTAAAAGAATTAAGCAAGAAGAATTTACCAACTTCATCTTCTTTGTCTTTGAACTTTTGATATATATATATATATATATTTTTTGTAATGGAGGGGGTCTAAATCAATCAAATTTAAGAAAATAGAAATTGTAATTTAATTTAAGAAGAAGGAAAGGGAAAAAGGAAATGCATCCAAAAGTAGGCAGCATCTCATAGGTATCTCATGGGAAGAACATTTTGGCCACTTGGTTCCAAAAGAAAGCTTCTTGTCAATAACCCATTTTCTTCTTGTCCCTTTTGGTGGGCCTTTTTTTAATTGAAATTTTAATTTTGTGAAACAAGAATATAATATATATATATATATATATTATAAAATTCTTAATATAAATTATATTCCAAATTTAAGTCAATTTTTTTTTTTTTTTGTAATTGTACAAATCTATAATTATTAAATTGAAAATTATTAGTCAAGTTGGTTTAATTTATAAGTTTAATACAAACATATTTCTTCACTAAAACCTAAGCAAGCAAATGGGTCTTAATAATTTTTTTTAAAAAAAAAAACAACAATTCATCATATTTTATGCTAAATTAAATTTTTTGAAAAAGTTAAAATTCCATTAATATAATTTTATTTTCTATATTATTTCAAAATTTTAAATATATATTTTAATATTTTATAATGTGTAATTATTTGTGAGAGAAAATAATTGTCTTTTTTTATTATAAAAAAAAAAAAAGGGGATAGAGAAAAATTACATGTGAACTAAGCCACCGAAAGGCAAAAGAGGAGCTCCATATCCCCCACTTTAATTTTGGAAGACATGTAAAGTGTAATAAAGTTAAGAAGAATATTTTTCTTTTTTAATAACATTTTTTTTTCTTCTTTCAATTAGATTCCATTACTATTTAAGATATTTTAATAAAATATTATTTTTAATTCTCGTTAATAATTTACGAATTAAACCAAATATTATTTAATT